ATATTTAGGTTTTAATAAATTTGTTAAAGAAAATATTACACACATTGAGCAAAGAAATCAGTTATACCGTATTGCGGAACCACAGCGTTTGTGGTCTGTAAATAAATATTTTTTTTTATAAAAATGCTATTCAACGAAATATTATTTAGCAAGAACTGCATTTAATGTGATTAATTGAAATATTTGTTTTATGTTTTTTTTTCAGGACTCCTTGAAATATATTTTTAATTGGTTTTTATAGCCATTGATTTCCAAAATGTTTTCATTTCACAAGGATAGTTGACAATAGATGACCATTTCATATTTTCTCTAGCCTAATTTTTGGACATCTAAGAAAACATTAACAGAATTTCAGTCCACAGATGAAAGCTGATGTGTCTTCTACGAAGAGTTCGATTTGACAGCCATCCTATTGCAGATTATGCTTTTATAGAGTACTATTTTTAAAATTTTCTATAAAAGAACAAATAGCCTTTTCCATAACCTGCAAGAATGTACAATATCTTACTTACATAACAAGTTTTTCTTTTTGAACCGGACAATTGGAGAAGTCGTGGTAGGATAAATCCTATCGGAGAAGATCTTCCTTAATTAATAACTTGATTTGTGGTAAAGATGCGATTTAAAGCAAATTACATGGTCCACAATTTTTTTTTTTTTTTTTTTTTTGTATAAAAGCAGAACTAGTGCTACTTCTAATCCCATTGTAGTTCCGAGGAACTTTTCTAGCCTTTTCACAATGATAATCAATCGTCGATTAGATTTTCGTTAATCTTTTAATTAGATTTGTCACATTCTAAATGCAATGCTCATAGAAATACGGACAAATTGTTGTTTTTATTTCTTTCCCGGTTTTATTCTTCTGTCGAAGAAGGCGTTGTTTCTAGACAACGATAGATGGCAGCCCCAATACTTAGAAGAGGATACAGCACACCAGCACTTAGCTGGAGAACTAATCGAGTAAGGTGGCAATGTTTTATGGAAGCCATTACCATCTTACACAATAAGCTATTCTAGGAGATTGGACTGTCATCTATTGTTTTCTAGTCGATTTCATTTTCGTTACCATTTTAATTAGAATTGTCAATTTCTAAATTTAGTACCCATAGAAATACGAATAAAATTTTGTTTTTTATTCTGGCCCGACTTATTTTCCTGTTAAAGGAGACGTTGTTTCTAGACAACGATAGATGACAGCCTTAACACTTAGCTGGAGGACTAATCGATAAAGATGACTGTGCTTTATGGGAGCTACTGTAGCCTGTTCTTAGAGATGGAACTGTCATCTATTGTTATTGTTATCTAGTCAATTTTATTTTCGTTTCACTTCTAATTAAATTTGTCATGTTCGAAATGCAGTGTCCATAGAAATACGAATAAAATGTTGTTCTATTACTGGCCCGATTTTATTCTCTTGTTGAAGGAGGCGTTGTTTCTAGACAACAATAGATTGCAGCCCTAACACCTACAACAAGATATAGCACACCGCCATCTTCCACTTAGCTGGAGGACTAATCGAGAAAGATGACAATGCTTTATCGGAGCCATTACCATCTTACTCTGCAGTCAGTTGTAAGAGATGGGACTGCCATCTATTGTTATTGTTATCTAGTCGATTTCATTTTCTTTCTCTTAATTATAATTGTCAAGTTCTAAATGTAGTGTCCGTAGAAATATGAGTAAAATGTTGTTGTTTTTATTTCTGGCCCTATTTTATTCTCCTTTTAAAGGAGACGTTGTTTCTAAACAACGATAGATGACAGCCCTATCATCTACTTAGCTGGAGGACTAATCGAGTAAGATTGCAATTTTTTATGGAAGCCATTCCATCTTACTTGTAGTCTATCCTAAGTGTGGTGCTGTCATCTAATCTTATCTAGACACAATGTCTCCTGTAATGTTTTACAGTGGTCGGGCCCTTTTTCAGTTAGTGTTGCCATTTTTCTCTGGGTGGCGCTATTTTCTACCATTCCTACGTTGTTTTATCCTCATGCTCTGATGTTGAGAGGAGGCTATTTAAAAAATATTCGAAAGCCAATTAAATTGGTAAACCCAGCAAGGAACAATGTATCCTGTAATGTTTTACAGTGGTCGGGCCCTTGTTCAGTTAGTGCCGTAATTTTTCTTTGGGTGGCGCTATTTTCTACCATTCCTACGTTGTAATATCCTCATGTTTTGATGTTGAGAGGGGGCTATTTAAAAAAATATTTGAAAGCCATTATATTGGTATACCCAGCAAGGAACAATGTATCCTTCAATATTGTTAGGATTCTTGTTCAGTTAGTGTTGAATTTTTCCTCTGGGTGGCGCTCCTCCTACCATTACATTTTTGTGTGTTATACTTATGTTTTTATGTTGAGAGGGGACAATTTAAAAAAAAAATTGAAAGCCAGTTATACTAAATTTGTCATATGCTTGAATAAAATATGTTATCGAAATTGTATGCAATAGATTTTTGATATAGCCCTCAATATAAGGGTCCTGACTGATTTTTAAGGCCCTTTTAAGAACCCAATTGATTGTAATTTTGAATTTCCGGTTTATCCATGCAGGAAATTTGTAATATAGGTCATGGTGGTCCATCAAATTTTATGACGTTTTTACTTTTTGGTATGATTTTGCCTCAGGTTCGTTCATAACCTCTATATTCGATGGATTTGGTTCTGGTAACGCCAGATGGGCTAATGAGGGTATATACACTTTGCTACGACAAAAATGTGCCTTATCGAATTATTGGTTTTAGACCCTATATTTCTTTGGACCAAATCTGTTTCAGACCATTTGGAGTCGATTTACAAATGTATTTTATTCCATCTGTCTGACCGGGTAGTGCGCACGATAACTCTTAAAGGGAGTATCCAATATTTGTTCCAAACTTAGTTCAAGTTCAAAGATGGGAAACATTGGCCCACTCCTTCTGGTACCTCCCCTACAGATGTGCAAAATTTCCAATATTTATAAATTCTACTACTATCTTCATCAAACCTAAATCAAGTCCGATGATAGGACCCATTAGTCCACTCATTCTGGTACATTAAACAAAGATTCAAAATTTCCAATTAAATTCGAAACTTCTTATATAAAAATATATACCTTATATAAGGCGAGTAATAAAACCTTTGTGTAACTCCTAAGACCTCCGAAAACATAGACTGATGATATATATATCTGTTGGGAACGCCAACTAACACTTAATTAATTGTTCAATTGATCAGCTACTATGAAAGTTTCATATACACACTAAGTGAAATCGATTAGGATTTGATATTTAAAGTTTTTTTTTTTTGGTAAAGTACTTTCACAGACACATTCTCAGACGCTGGTCTCTATTTTCAGCCTCAATTTTGTCCCCGAGGCAATGTAACAGAAACTGCTCTAGGTTGTCTAATCAGCTGATATTCCTTAGCTGCTATACGTGAACGGGCTCTGCCTTTAAACGGCATGCATAACCTTCCAATTACACCTCGACAGATGAATTCTAGCAGGTGTAGTAAAACCTATGTCTATGCAAACGACACATAACGATATTAATGTCGTATGGAGGGCATGAGAAATGTCGAATGGGTTTAACAATTTTAGATAAAAAACATAAAAAAAGCCAATAAGGTGTTCAAAAGCTCCCAATTATAGGTTCATGTTGAATATATAAATTTTTGTTGGATTTTTTAATTTTTTGATTAACTAAATAAAATATTTTTTTATTCTTCACTTCGAAAAACCTAAAAAAATTATTATTATTAATTTTTAAATTCTTATTAAGAAACGTAACAGACATTTAAAAACATTGCAGGACTTTGCTAAAACACCTATAAATATTTGAAAATATTTTAATAATATTTTTATAAACCTCATGGCATTCCGATACATTTCTTGTCTCGAAAAAGTATCATTGAAGGAATTCCAAATATATTTCAAGAAATGTTTTTTTGTTTAATAAATGAAAATGTTGATATATTTTTATTAATACCGAAATAATCTCTCTCTCCCTTTATTCCTTAAAAATAATTAATATTAGGTTACATATTTATTTAAAAAAAAATACTTCTGCTCTCTAGCTTTCGCTCTCACACCACCTCGTTCTCTGTACTCTCAGTCAAATAATACTCTGTCTTCTGATAAAAAAAAATATATATCTAACATTTAAATATCATAATTAATTTGAGTTAAAAAATAATTTATTTCTTATTTAAATATTTAATCATTTCCTTATAACATACATTTTCTTCTACTACCACTTTCTAAATAGTTTATACATAACTCTGTATATAAATAAAAATACCCTAACATATGTCAATATACATACAAATGTATTAATTGTCTAACATAATTTTATACATACATACATATTATAAATATATATAAATATTAACATTTTCCCCTTATATATAACACATTTTACATTCAATTTTTATTATATATAAAAAATATTATATTAATATTTAACAAAAAAATTTCAAAACATGAAATGTTTCAAAATTTTTGCTCCATAATTTATATTATATTTGTATTTTCATTTTTTGTTTTTTTTTTATATCGTTCGTTCGTTTATATACATCGTACGTACTCTCTGTTTCTTCTTTCTCTTCATGTCGACAAATCAAAATCAAAAAATATATATATCGAAATCCAAATAACGACAAAATATCGCAAACCAAAAATTATTCAAAAAATAACAATTACCAAAAAATCGAAAATAATAACATTGCCTGTGAAAAAACCAATTACCAATAACCGTTATATACCACCCGTTAACCGCAATTCGATTACTTTTTCCCACTCCCATCACCGACACCATCACAAAACATTTGCTGCTCAAAAATGTGAAAATTCAAAAAACCGAAAATAAATAAAAAATTAAACGAATTCAAAACAAAATGGTTACCGAATAACTGCAATAATTCAAAAATGTTTGACACAAAACCGAAATTGATTGACACTCTACTATGTGTGTGTGTGTCCGTGTCGCATTAATGATGGTTTGTTTGCAAAATGCCAAATAGGCCGGTCGGAGTTTGGGGAAAAATTGTGGGATCACTGTGTGCCATTGCTGGTGTCTTGACAATCGCTCTACCGGTACCGGTTATTGTCAGTAATTTCAATTATTTCTATCACCGTGAAACGGATCAAGAGGAGATGCAGAGCCAAAACTTCAATCACGTTACTAGTTGTCCATATTTACCTGGTACATTAGGTAAGTTTGAGTTTAATTTTATAACACCCATACATACACACACCAGTTACTTTTTTGCGCTCTCTCGCTCTCTACAACAAACAAATATTGTTCTCTTTAAAACAAAAACTGCTTTCCTTTTATAACAATCCCACCACACAAATAAACAACACCAACAAAATCCACGTAACAAATTTCCACCAGTTAACAGTAAACAAAAAAGAGAAAAGTTGTTTCTCTTTTTTTTCTTAACATAGCTCTTTTCTTCTTGCTCGCTCGCTCTATTTCTGTAGTTAGGCCAATACACACATACACACTTGGAAACAACACACCTGTAGTATAGACTAACCACTCAAGCACACTTTTTTCTTCTTCTGGGAAAACTCCATTAAACATAACATCCAGTCCAGTACATTCCAGTGATATTAATATCCTGCTCCCTCCTCGCTCTTTTCCTGTACCCTATATTCCTTCTCTAAGAGTACCCAATTTTAAAGTAAAGTAATTGCTTCCATGTTAGGATCCTTTTCAAAGAAACCACCAAACACATTTTGCTCAATTTTTATATTTTTTTATTTCTTTTTCTATAATACCCAACAAACCAAACAACAACAACAAAAATGGTCTAAACAATGCGCTAAACAAACTAAAAAACGAAAATTTTCAACAAAAAACAACAACAACTACACCACCCGACACAATCACCATTCACCACCACCACTCAACGAAAATAATTGCCCATTGCCATCATCCTGTAACAAAAAAATCTCGTTTGTTTTGTTTTTTTCTGTTCATTTCATTTCTTTGATCACAACAACAACAACAATTTTGTAATTGTAACCGCCCTCTCCCCACGTTACTCCTTGTTATCCCAAGTAGGTCAACATTTAAAGAAATCATCGTTGTCTGAGTCCTCATCAGATATGATGGATTTGGATGATGGTGTCGAATCAACGCCGGGACTGACTGATACGCATCCTGGTCGTTCGATGGTTCCATTTTTGGGAGCCACCCATCAACATTCTCATATAGCTCCAACAACGGCCTCGTGCGCCACCGCCGCCGCTGGCGTCGCCAATAATACGGCGGCGTCTGCTATAACCACAACCCTGCCAGCAACGCCTCAGCAACAAACGCCAGACAAACAGCAGCAGCAGCACCCGCAGCAACAACACCAGTTGCAACAACAGCAGCAGCAACAACAAATCCAGTTGCAAAATGGCTATAAACAATCTGCCATCAGTGTTACCAGCAGTGGTAACATCCAGACCCATAGGCATAATAATGCTTTGGCCGTTAGTATCGAAACCGACGTTTGACTACTGGGTAAGTGTTGGGCTCTCTGAGTCCTATATTATCAGTTTTTGTGTGTGTTCATTTGTTATTGCTTTTTCTTTTTTTATTTTGAAGTATACATATATTTTATTAGTCTAAATACATTTAATATTTTTGATAAACTATAGAATGTATATTTAAATTTATAACGTAACGATCTCTTATCCTGTGTAATTTCTTCTGTGTGTAACTGATTTCTTGTGCTCATCATATTGTACGCTCTTAAGCAACAACAAACAAAAAACCGTACAACTCTTTTGTAATTGTTTAGAGGAATAAATAACTCTTATTTCAAAAGTATTTTCCTCCATTTCTCTGTCTATTGTTCTCATTTAATAACTCTTAAAACTCATACAAAAATAGAGAGAGCTGAACTAAAATAGTGGTAGAATATCATTTACATGAGAGATGTGAAAGAAACGGTATTCCTATCACTGAGAAGAGTTTCTTTGTTTACATTCTCTTATTGTGAGATAAGTAGTACAATAATGAACTCTTCTTGGTAATTATTATAATGCAGTGCATTGCGAATAAAGAGGCGCTCTTTGTTCCCCTATTGCCAATTAGAAATATGGACTTTTCTAACAAGAATATAAATATGACCGAGAAGAGTATCGTTTGCATTAATACCATTATTATTAATTTGCTCTAAGTATCGTAAAGTAATTTGTAATAATTTTCACAATGTAAAAAAAATGTAGTTTAACTTTGGTAATCATGGCTTCAAACACTCCATTTCCCCAAAAAATAAATAAATAAATACAAATTGTACAAATGTTCCATGCTCATCTAAGGGCTGCCAAAAATCTCAAATATTTTTTTTTTTTTTTAAATACCTAATGAGTGACTCTCAGTCCAACATCTAAAAAAATTATTTCAAGCTAAAAATAAAAAGTTCCATGATATAAAATGAATATATAATAAAAACCAGGGTTGCGGAGCAGTATAGTCCGAGCGACTTTCTGTGGTTCTAAATTCTGAACTTGGGCAATATTTCCCGATATTTGCACCAATTGGACCGACTAGAGGTCAACAAATATTACTAATAGATTCCCAGATTCCCTTCTAATTACTTGTTCAGCTGATGTTCAGCTTTCAATTGTGGCCTATAGATCGACTCGAAAAAAACCATAAATGTTTTCGGTCCACTTCATCCCAATATTATTATCTGATCATCACCGAAAATTATAGGCGTTGTCCTTGCCATGCCAGGATCCTAATGGAAAATTTCAAAGCGATCAGCGATAGTGTTCTAAAATTGTAGGCGTTGTCCGGCGATGGGTTACTAAATAATGTCTGAATACGTAAGCACCTGTAAATATTAAAGTGTATCTCCCACATCCGAGTACATACGACAATACAATATATATCAATTTAAAAGTCAACCACTCCTCTTGGATATACTATCAACTTCTCGGGCCTATGTCCTTCAGGAACATATACGATATTGAATACAACTTTTGTCATTTTTCACACAAAAATAATGGTCCATTTCATCCGCTAAGTATTGACCAATCTTTTTCAAAACAGGTATGCGTATTACTTGGCCCGATCGCTTTCTCCATGTAAAAATTCGCGATTTTATGGTCATAATTGCAACAGAGGGGTCTTCATTGGCCAGAACCCATCCTTAGAGATAGACAGTGGGTAAATACCCAAAGGGTAAATACCCGGTAAATTGGGTAAATACCCATTTGTTGGTATTTATTTGGGTATTTACTATATTGAATAGGTAATACAACTCTTTCCGGGTTTCTGTTATCAAATCGATTTAGAATGGATAGTTTTACGATACTTTAAAGACGTGGGTAAATACTTAGGTAAATACCCGAGTTGTTACCCAAAAATTGGGTGTAAAAACTCATTAACTGCGGAACCACTTGACATAGGCGGCCAAAATTTTGCATACAGGCTTTTAATGTCAAAGCACATATAGAAATCCAAAATGGGGTCCCTGGGTCCAAGTTTTGATATAGACCCATATAACCGTATAAATACTATCTCTACCCGCATAAATACCATCACGACCCATCCTACATACAAAATTTCGTGAAGATTGGTCGATAACTGGGGCCTGTATGGTGTTTACAAGTTATAATGGACAAACGGACGGACGGACAGACACATATGTCTACATCGACACAGCGAGTCGAGGTATGATAATCGGTATACTTAATGGTGGGTCTAGGACCAATATTTCGCAGCATTGACAACAAAGTTGTGCAGGGTATAATTAGAGTTTTTATGTGGTAATAGATGAAGATCAACCATAAAAAGGAGCTAACGAAGGGAATCATATTCTTTAGTATTACCATTACCACATTTGAGGGCGGAAATGTAGCGCTGACAGCTAGGAAAAATTTTCAGGAGGTTCCGGTAATGGTCAAGGACGTCGCCTATAAATTTCGATGATGATTGTTCAGTTTTCTAATCGCTCTGGAGGCCATTGTTATAAGCCGAAGATCACCAATGACACAGGGAGAAGGGGATCGGGCCGGTCAATATTTAGCTGGTCAAATGAACCAAGACTTTTGTGGGTAAAATAACAAAATTTGAATTGTGTGACGTAGATGTCCACTCCGGGAAAACATAATTCGTAAAATATGCCAGGGTAAGAAAAAGAAACAGTTGATTCTTAATTGGCCAAGAGGTTGCAAACATCGCGATATATAGTCCAGGCTTGGAATGTAGATCCTCAGAAAGTTCGAGTTCAATGGTAGTTGTATGGACGGCACCGTCTGACTATACTGCTCCGCTCATTGGTTTTTATTTATTTTTTATATGAATCTCGTTCATTAAATTATTAAAGTCCGCTCTATTTCAAATAGTCTTGGAAATGGAGTTAGATCTTTAATAAGATATAAATATATCGAAAATTTTTACTATGAACCCATAACTTCTCAAGAATTTCTCATTTAAATTTGCTAAAAATCTCAAAAACTCTTGAAGATATAGCCGATTTATTGTATCAGCTTCAAGCGAATGTGTTTTTCGAAAAATAGAAAAACAACAACAAAACAATAAGAAAAGAATATTGTAAATTATTTTTCTTCTCTTTTAAATTTTCAAAAAAAATCGTGACGATTCCGATTATATTTTTTATAACATCAGACTTACGGCTAATGAAGGGGAATACACACTTTGTTACGGCAAACATATGCCTCATCAAAATATTGATTTCTTGCACTATTCATGACGAAACCTACATGTCAGACTTTTGTCTTTTCTGAAGGTATTCGAAAGTAAATTTTTTAAACGCTCAATAGAGATCTCAATTAAATATTTTATATCTTATTATAATTTTGTAAGCATCATTATGTTTTAGGATACATGTCTCTCATATATCCTCAAATAGACCAGTCCAGAAAAGTTCTGGGGTCAGTTTATTAAAAAAAAAGTAATAAGATACAAACGTATTTTGGTTTTTAGAGTTATTTAAAAAAAAATATTGGCTAGGGTATGAAGCGATTAACTTAATGTTTTTTCTATAAATTGAACCGATATCTGAGAACTTTTCATATCAAATTTCAAAGTTAAGAAAATTATCCAACTTGTAGAAAGAAATTCGCAATTCCATTATATTACATATCTGAAGAAAAATTGTAATTTTGTTGCATGTTCAATATTTATAAAAAATGTGTTCCACCAATTCCAACACAATAGAATATCACAAAAAATTAGTTTAGAAAATGATCAGATTTGTCGGATGAAATTCGTATGGATTATATTACAATTCTAAAGAAACAATTTGAATTTAAGATATGTTCCTATATTTAATATTTATAGAAATATATCCGCTAAATTTATCTATTCTTATCTCTCGAAAATATAGTTTAGAAAATTATCCGAATTTTCGAAAGAAAATCGCAAAACATTTTTCTGACAAAAAAAATTATAATATTTTAGCAGCAATTCCACCAAAATAGAAAAGAATTATTTGAAAAATATTTTTGGTTTTTAGAGTTGTTTTAAAAATGTTGGCTAGATATGAAGCGGTTAACTTAATGTTTTTCTATAAATTGAAACGATATCCGAGAACTTTTCATATCAAATTCCAAAGATCTGGCACGTCCGAAAAAATTCAAAGGACCTTTTCTATGTCTCTCCCCCATTTAAATATGTCGTATTTCATAGTGGATTTTATTAAGCACATGTACAGTAAAATCTCGAAAAAAATGGGCTGGACTTCTATAAAATACTATTTTATCACTTTTCATATTGTATTTTAAACATTAGACTTCTATCCGACATGTCGGAAGAAAATCGAAAGTCATTAACTACACCGCATTTGTTTCCCTTTCAATTATTTAAAAAATCTTGAGGGAAGTATACGACTTCTAGTGGCCTATTTTATCACTTTTCATATCGAATTTTAAACTTTAGACTTTTACCCGACATGTCGGAAGAAATTCGAAATTCCGCATTTGTTTTTTTTTTTCTTCTTTAAATTATTTTGAAAATTTTGAGGGCAGTAAACGATTTCTAGTGGCCAAAAAGTCTTCTAATAGAAACATTTGTCCTACTTTGATAATTGAATTCCTCGAATCGGTAAAATAATCATCCTTAATACTATTTATACATCTGAAGAATATGATCTGATTGAAACCATGATTGCCAAATTGTTAAGTTAACATTTATTAAAAATTATTTAATTGAATTTATTACATAGAACATACAATTTTTCAAGTACTTCAAATACAATACGAATAATACATAATTTAAGATAACATATATAAATAAACATTTATATATGTTTTTGTAATAAGCAAATACCCCTTTCTTATCAAATAAAGTTTTTTTCTATAAAAATAATAAATCAGTAATTTTTGTTAATTCAATTGGAAACAGTATAAGAGATGTTTTGTGATAAAAACGTATTTAGTATTTATTTCAAATTATTTATTTTTTTATAATTATTCTAATTATATATATATATAAAAATTGAACAATTTCAAATTTTAACAAATTCAAAGTATACAATAAAAATTGAGCTTTTATTTTCTTTTGCATTTCAAACCAAAAACAAAAAATCAAAACCAAAAATCAAACAAAATTCGCAAAAAAAAACAAATAAAACCAAAATCCGAACGGCAATCACATTATCCTGAAACGATACGATCATATTACGATTTTAACAAAAAAATGTGTAGTAAAAAAGACGTTACGTGCGATATTTTGGCCTTGTACAATACGTTGGATGCCAGAAACGACTACCAAAGCTGTTTAAACCAAAAAAAAAAGAACAAAACAAAAAATAATAATTTATGCAAATATTTAATTTTAAGTAGTAATTTAATTAAATTGAAACAAATTAAAAACAAAAAAACAGAAAACCCCCAAAAACACAAAAACATCTTAATTAATAAATTATGAACAACAACAACAAAAAAACTTATTAAGAAGAACAAAAAAATTGCAAAAAATTATATAAAAAAATCAGAACAAAAAAAAAAACATCGAAGAAAATTCACTAAAAACAAAGCTAGAAAATAATAATATAATTTAAATTAAAAAAAAAAAACAATACAAACAAAATCCCAAAAACCTGAAATAGGTAAAAATCTAAAACAAATTAAATGAAATATTAAAGATTTCAATAGCAGAAGAATACATTTGAAAAGAAATACAGTTTTTTTTCGAAAATCAATGAAGAGACAAAAACAAGCCATTCATGAACAAATCCAAAAAGCAAAGAAACTGAAACGAATAATCCTTTCCGTCACATCACGAAATAGTTTCCAAAATTGGGGATATTTAACCAATAGCAAAGATTGTATTAAGAAAATGCAATTCTCACAGTCCTTCAGAGGAAGAATAAAATTACACGATCTGCAACAGCTATAGATTCGGTATGAAAATAAAAAAATAAAATAACAGTAAAAAATTAACAAGGTGATAATGGCTAGAAAAAATAAATAAAAAAATAATTTATGTAGTCGAGAGAAATAACAAATATTCCAGAGAATAGAATAGAAGGTGAGCAGTCAAATAATACAGTAGTCACAAAGTCAGCAAACAGAAATCACACAAAGCACAGTGGTTTTTAAATCAAAAAAAAAAAAAAATTGTATAAACAATTTAATTTGCAACTCAATGTACAAGCAATCTTGTTCAAAGAACCTTCATAAGTTCTCATATTGAATATGTGAAGTATTTATATATTAATAAACTATGTTCAATATTTCACCAATATTGAAAAAATATACCAAAAAAAATTTTTTGTTAGAAATTTATCCGACTTGTCGGAAGAAATTCTTAGGGAATATATTTGGAATATATTTCCCCAAGAAAAATTGAAAATTGTGGCATATTTCCATATTGAATACTTATAGAAAAAATAACATGTCACAAACAAAAATTGTTGAGAAAATTATCAGACTTGTCGGAAGAAATTCGTATGGACTATATATTATAATTCTAAAAAAATTTAAATTTTGTGGCATGCTCCCATATTCAATATTTAAAGAAATATATCCGCTAAATTCCTCACTTCTTATTTTTCCAAAATATAATATTAAAAAATATAGTTTAGAAAATTATCCGACTTTTCGGAGGAAAATCGTAAAACCTTTTTCTTAAAAAAATTAATTTTTTTGACATGTTCTCTTTTTCTATTTGCAATTCCACCACTATAGAAAATAATTATTTAAAAATACAAAAATTTAGTTTAGAAAATTATACGACTTGTCGGAAGAAATTCGTAAAGTTTATATTACATATCTGAAGAAAAATGTGAATTTTTTGGCATGTTTCCATATTTAATATTTAGGTTCGCTAAATTCCACAGAAATAGAATGTCAGAAACAAAATTAGTTTAGAAATATATCAGATTTGTCGGAAGAAATTCGTATGAATTATATAATAATTCTAAACAAAAAAATTAAATTTTGAGGTATGTTCCCATATTCAATATTTATAGAAATATGTCCGTTAAATTCCTCACTTCTTATTTCTCCAAAAAATAATTTTAAAAAAATATATAGTTTAGAAAATTATCCGACTTTTCGGAAGAAAATCGTAAAACTATTTTCTAAATAAATAAAAATTGTTTTTAACATTTCTGTTTCAAGCAATCCCACCATAATAGAAAATACTTGTTTAGAAAATATCACACAAAAATGTAGTTTAGAAAATTATCCGACTTGTCGGAAGAAATTCGTAAAGTTTATATTACATATCTGAAGAAAAATTTGAACGTTTTGGCATGTTTCCATATTCAAACGGAAAATGTAAACAAATCATTCATAAAAGGGATCAAAGAGAACTAGGTGAACGAGAACAAAATATTAACGATTGGGCCAAAATCAAACGAAACGAAAGAACCACAACTAGTTCCGATCATTCCTTTTGCGGAATAGTTATTTTGAAACACCTGATAAAGAACATTTCCAAGCATATTCAAAATTAAATTTCAATTTATAGAGATTTATTGTGTTCCTAAAACCGTACGATCTCTTTTGATTCGCTCAGCAAAGGGATTTAGCTCATTCAGTCGTTCATTGGTACAGATCAAATAGTTCGGTCAATGAACGGGGTCAAAATAAAGTACGCTAACCAAAAAACAAACAAAAAACAACTAGTTCGGATCGTTCCTTTTTGAAGAATATTTTTTGAACTAGGTCATTCCTAAATGCTTGATATGAATAATTGATTAAAATAAGAAAAATGTAAATAACGATGTAGGGGAGATCTTTCTGCCTAAAAAGGTATAAAACTCAAACGTAAATGAATTTGGTTACGGGGAAAATTGAATTTTTAAAGTTTTTACTAGCACATAAAAAAATAAGATTTATAGAGTTGTGTAATCTCGCTCCTGAAACAGTACAGTATCAGTCGATTCGCCCGGCAAAGATGACTAGCTCATTCATAATTCAGTCATTCATTGATTCACGTCAATTAGTTCGGTCAATGAACGGGAGGATCTAGATGAATGATCGAATCAAATGGAACTAAGAGAACGAAAAAAAAATGAACGAATGGGAGCAAGAAAAAAACAAGCAACGAAAAAAACACAACTAGTTCTGATCGTTCCTTTTGAGGAATAGCATTTATGAACTAGTTCGTTCGGAAACGAACTAATTTTAGATGTTTAGTATGAATATATAAAAAATATACATTTGGTTATCTGAAAAACGAAATTTTAATGACATCTGATATAAGTTATTAACCCTTTCAGTGTCAAAAAAATTTTTGTCGCAATAAAAATCTAAAATTTTGTACTTAAAATCATATGAAGGCACAGATGTTAGAAAAAAAAACAATTCTTATTTTAACCCTCGGACAGTTTTGTCCGCCTTTCAGCAAAAACAAAGTCATCAATTGTAACGGTACATAGGATAACCGAAAAATTGCAAAAGAAGAGAGTAATTTTAAATGTCGAATATATTCGACAAAAACACTGAAAGGGTTAACTTCTGATGACATTTAGAAAAATTTAATAAATTTTGAAATTTTTTATCAATAAATTTCAAGTAATTTTTATATTTTTTACTTGATTAAAAACCACTGTGCAATGTAAGATAAAATATCACATAAAAATACTTACACACCACATACAGCAACGATATTAATAATGTATAGGCAAAAAGTGAAAAAAAAGAAAACACCACAAACTACCCCCAAATTGTAGATAAAGAAGATGAAATGTCCAATTAGAAAAATAACAGAAAGCAACCCTTAACAAAAAGTAAAAAATAAATATCGAAGTTAAATAAAAACAGTGGCTTATTAATAAATGCCTCAGAAAATAGTAAATATTAATAGACGAAATTCTTCTGGGTCAGAAACGAATGTAGATGGAACACAAATACAACCAACCAACACTTGTAACATAGAACCACAATAATACACCAGAAAAAAGAAACAGATAGAACCACACATGTAAAATCAGTCATTGGTAGATATCACAGAACAGTAATTGGAATATTGAGGAACATTGCAGGATAATACAACCAGTCAGTTAATAGGCAGTGTAAATGATGCAATGATATGTTTACAGTAGATAAGCAGATAACAACAACAACTCCAAAAATCATTTACAATTCATTTAAAAATCACTATCATAAAACCAGGCATCAATAAGTGAGTTCGGCTATCTATCACGTCAGTTAATTTGATAATTGAACGGTAAGATCTAGATGAACAGAGGAAAATTAACGACTAAAGCAAATCGAACCGCAACTAGTACCAATCGTCCAGATTGTATCAAAATGAACTAAGTGAACGAATGGAACCAAAGGAATTGGATGGTCGAAAGAACTACATCTAATGCGGAATAGTTCATTTGAACCGATTTATTATTTTAAATGTATTTTAGATAGAAGGATTTTTATATATTTTTTAATAGTTTACACATTTAAAAGCAAAGTCGATTCGTTGGGCGCTATTTAAAAACATATATAATTGTTCTCAAGTTCATATTATGGGCAATTCCTTACACAAAAAAACTGACAAGACTTGAAATGTCGACTTTGTGATTTCCACAAAGATCAAAAGTCTACTCCGACTTTCAGATTTTCCAATACAAAAAGTCTATTAATCGATCAATCGAAAGTCGATTTACTTACCCCTACTCCAAAAGTCGATTTACTTATCCCTACTCCAAATCAGAGTGAGTTCTGACTCTATTTGTAGCGAAAAGTCTGAATTTGAGAGTAAGTCTTTAAATGCTCCCATTCATTAGTGCCGTACTGGTCCGAAATGAACTAGCTCAATGTAATATAGGAGTAATAATTTCCCGCATGCCATGGAAGTGTTTCGTCCATCCTTTTGTGCTTAATTAAATTCAATATCGACTTATCCTCTCCAAATTAGAGTAAGCTCTGATTCGATTTCAATCTAAAAACTTTTTGAGAGTAACTCTGTAAATAATCGCATTTAATGATTCAATGATCCCATTCATTGACGTTGTACTGAAACGAACTAGTTCATTAAAACTATTCCGCAAAAAGAAGATCGGTAATAGAACCGGCTTTTATGTTTATCTAGTTCATTTCGTTCTTTAAATGACCCGCTGATTGAATAAATGTTCCGATTCATACTATTCCAGAAGGAACTAGTTCAATGAAACTATTCCGCAAAAAAAAAAGATCGGTATTAGCTCCGGCTCTTACATTCATGTAGCTCCTTTTGCTCCCCTTCATCTAGTTCATTTTGCTTCGTATAGATTTTCTCGCTCAATGATGGAATGATGTGACAGAACTATTGAACTAAAAGGAATTATGGATATAAATGAAAGTATCTAGATCCGGTTTGCGGGCGAATTTCTTCAGTAGTTTATCTGGTTAATTTTTCTTCAATCTATCA